TTGGCTGTGTCTAGCCTGCAGGGTTTTTTCGAAAAAAGTAGCCTTTTTTCAAAAAAACATCACCTGCGTCTAGACTACAGCTGCGTTTTCGAAATTAAATCGAAAGAACGCGGCTTTTCTTTCGATGGCGGTACTCCTCATTTCACGAGGAAGAACGCCTTTTTTCAAAAGTGCTCTTTCGAAAAAAGGCGTTCTTGATGCAAACAGGGCTTTTTCGAAAGAGAGCATCCAGACTGCCTGGGTGCTCTCTTTCGAAAAAGCAGTTTGCTTTTTCGAAAGTACTGCTTGCAGTCTAGACGCTCTTTTTCGAAAGAGGCTTGCAGTCTAGACGTAGCCCATGGGAGCAACCAAGGAAGTTACTCCGCAGTTTGTAGGCTAGGGTTTTTATTTTCACTATTGATCACCAAATTCTAGAGAGACTGAGACCCATATTAGGCCTTCATGCTCTTAAATTCAGTAAGCAAATGAGATTCTATATGGTTATCCTAGCATCAATCCTTCCCTCCCTAGACTGCAATGTCGGGTTTGTTGCCCTCAGTCTTTGAGATGCATACTTTCACATGGTGGTGATAAGAAGAAATTCTTTAGAGTTGTTGTAAGGCCATTATCAGTTCATGGTATTCCTCTTTGGCTATCTGCTCATATATTCGCCAAATGTCTGGCAATGACAGCAGCTTTCCTAAGGAAAGAAAGGGATACATGTCTTTCTTTATCTCAAAGACTGGCTGGTCTGGGGATCATCCAAGATCCAGGTTCACCGTAACACTGGATTAATCATTCACTTTTTCAACTGCCAGAGGCTGATCCTGAAGAAAGAACTGAGTTCATGGGAGCCCTACTTGATTCCATGAATTTGACTGCATTTCTACCGAAAAAGCCGCTTGCTTTTTCGAAAGTACTGCTTGCAGTCTAGACGCTCTTTTTCGAAAGAGGCTTGCAGTCTAGACGTAGCCCATGGGAGCAACCAAGGAAGTTACTCCGCAGTTTGTAGGCTAGGGTTTTTATTTTCACTATTGATCACCAAATTCTAGAGAGACTGAGACCCATATTAGGCCTTCATGCTCTTAAATTCAGTAAGCAAATGAGATTCTATATGGTTATCCTAGCATCAATCCTTCCCTCCCTAGACTGCAATGTCGGGTTTGTTGCCCTCAGTCTTTGAGATGCATACTTTCACATGGTGGTGATAAGAAGAAATTCTTTAGAGTTGTTGTAAGGCCATTATCAGTTCATGGTATTCCTCTTTGGCTATCTGCTCATATATTCGCCAAATGTCTGGCAATGACAGCAGCTTTCCTAAGGAAAGAAAGGGATACATGGTATGGGGATCATCCAAGATCCAGGTTCACCGTAACACTGGATTAATCATTCACTTTTTCAACTGCCAGAGGCTGATCCTGAAGAAAGAACTGAGTTCATGGGAGCCCTACTTGATTCCATGAATTTGACTGCATTTCTACCTCAGAGCTTTCCAGTGATTCACAACTTGCCACTGTCAGGTCTCACCATCTACCATGGCTTGGATTTACCAGAGGTTACTGAACCATATGGCCTCTTTTACATATGTAAACAAACATGCCACACTAACATCTCTACTCTCTGCAGATATGACTGCAGTCTATCAGCTAAACAAACATGGCAAGTACAAGTGCTCCTTCCTGCAGTGATAAGCACCTTAGATCAATGGATGGGTCATGCAAAGTGCATGCAAGGGGTCCCCTTTGCTCAGCCTTGTCCATCTCTGATACTTATGACTGATGTTTCTCAAATATTATGGAGCTCTCACACAGATGGCACTCAATCCCCAGGGGTCTGATCAGAACACAAGGGGAATCTCTACATCAACATCCTCTTAAGTTCTGAGCAATTTGCAGCTTTAGGGGGCTTTCTTCCATATTCTGGGACTGTTAGTACAGACTCTCACTGAAAACACCACCGTAATATACAATCTAAACAGGGTGGCCCCTTGTTCCAGTCAGGTCTATTAAGAGGCACTCGGCTTTCACGAGTTTTGCCTCACAGAGGACATCAAAGCTGTAGCTGCACACTTAATTGGAGCCCAGAATTGGCTGATTTCCTCAGGAGGAGATTCTCCCTTAACCACAAATAGTTCCTCAAGAGCAGAGTATTAAGGCCCATCTTTCAGTCATGGGTCATTCCTTCAATTAACCTGTTTGCAGTAAAAGATAACTAAGAAATGTCACCCATTTTGTTCTTGGGCAAATCAGTCTAGGTTCAATAACTGCCAATTTCACGTTGGACTGAAGACCAGATCGAATGTTTGCATGCTTCCTTCATCTTGCAATCCTTCTAGTTCTGGCAAGTCATTCAGAAACTGAAACGAGACCATGGCAAATTACCCTGAACTGGCTAAGGCAATGCTGTTTGAGTTTTTTTTTTTTTTTACTTCCTCTAGCTTTCAGTTCATCCTTTTCACCTCCTGTCTCTTTTCTCAGATTTGCTGTCACAACAGAACAGTTAAATACTGTATCTGAATCAGTGCAGCCTCATGTTTCAGGTTCGGAGTTGCTAGCTGAAGAAGAGTGTGTACTTTAGCAGGTCAGGAGATTCTCCTCAACAGTAGAAAGCAGTCATTGAGACCTACTTACCTGGTCAAATGGAAATGGTTTTCCATTTAGTCCACTCATAGTGGAATACAACCTTTGAGATCCCAGATATCCTTGCATATCTACTACATCTGAAATCATTTGAGTTACTTAAAAATTCATCTTGCAATGATCTTGACCAGCCACGCACCAGTCTAGGGTCAATCAGTATTCTTCAATCCCATGATTACTAGAGTTCTTAAAGCCACAACTCATCTCTTTCCAGTAATCATGGACTCAGTGCCCTCTTGGGACCTCAGTACTGTACTGGGATCCCTGATGGGCCCAGTGGTTGAACCTATGACCACTTGTTCATGGCCTCTCCTAAATCAAGAAAGCACTTGCTGTAGTGCCACTACACTGGCCAGGAGAGCATCAAACCTACAAGCACGGATGGTGGTGTCAAGCTATGACTGATGAGCATGGATACCAATCTCAGGGCACACTATGAAGAACCAGTGTACCAATCCCAGATTGGCTGGAAGAACTATATTTATATTTTACCAACCAAATATATCAAATGTAAACTCCTCAGGCACTACAACAACCTAACCATAGTCAATCTCTTGTCACCTAGGCAATCTTACCTTTGTGATAGATGGTATTTTACACCATCCATCACAGGAATCACAGGAATATTCAGGATAGCGTATGCGCTATCCCAAGAGTTACTGATGTGGGGAAAAAGTCTGACTATTGTGCGCCTGGCACGAATACATTTAAGTGGAATATGCATCTGCACACATCTCAAAGAACACGTAAGTAACCATTTGGGGATTTTGTTTTGGAGGTTGGCTGTTTTGTTTTGTTTTTTGCAAGATTCCTTGTTCTTGTCTCAATGATTTGAAAAGAAAATCTGCTCCATTTACAAAACTGTTTTCCTGATTTCCATCTCTACAAACTCAACATGGAATAGTCACAGAAAGGTAGCTGTGTTAGTCTGCTACATGACTGCTTTTTTGTTTCAACATGGAATGTGAGTGAAACTGGATTCTTTCTAGCATAAGAAGTAAAGGTTAAGCATGTGCAATTTAGGCTACAATGCTGTTGATTCATGAATCAGACTAGACTCCAATTAATTCACTAAAAGATATGCTGGCTCTGCAGAGCTAATTGGAGTAAAACAATATTTTATGTTAAACTAGAACAATCTAGTCAAACTAAGCAGATGTGACTTGGAATATACAAGTGGCTTTTTAAAAAAATAGTAGTTTACTGGCTATAGCTACACATTACATATAAGGCCATATTTAAAGTCAGAAACTCACTTGGTTTTGTACTTTTAACTTTTCACAATTAAAATAGAAGCTGGATACTGATCAAAGTCCATTTTAATAACTTCTTTATCTATAAATCAATAGTTCAACTACTTATACAAATTACAGTTTGTTTCCATGTTAACCAGTTCTACCTTTTGGTATATAGCGAATGTAATTAACTCAGTGACAGTATTTAGTTAAGAACAGAAGATGGAAAACAATCATATGGCATAGTTATTACTGCAATATACACCATCTGTCACTTTGCATTTCCTTTTCGGATGTCATAAGCCATTACTACATAACGACCCTTCTGAAGTCATCTCTGTAGTTCTGAAAGCCCAATAGTGGAAGTGTCAAGTCACTGCATGCAGATAAAATTAACTTAGAGACAGACTGTGCTATTTTTTATTTCTTTCCCAACTGACTGCAGTAGAAATAAGAAATTACAAATTCAATAGGAATGTTTCAACTTCAACTTCAAATGCCATATTTTTGTCTGTTGTAGCTATGCCTGTGTATCAGGGCAAGAGGGTGGGGGGAAGAATTACTCTGTGCTATTTATGGACATGACGCATGGTACTTGCTCCTCAGTGCAAGGGGGCATCTGGAAGGCAGACTGTGACACTCTGAATCATGATGTGTCTTTTACATTGTTCTAGGGGCAGCGCAACAAAATACATTGCCCTTTGCTCAGGGATAGATGAGTTGCAGAACTCTCAGGATACATAGAAAATGTTTATTAGGAACATTAAATGTGGTTTAAGTGGTTAAATTCTAGGTCAAACCCATTGCTGGCAGCAGTTATCAGCAACAGACAGTCTTTATGGTATAGACATAATCTAAACCACCCTTGTTACAATTTAAGCCCATTGCTTCTTGTCCTATCATCCGAGGTTAAGGAGAATAATATTTTTCCCCCAACCTTGCGACAACCTTTTATGTAACTGAAAACTGTTATGTCACCTGCCCGTCTCCTCCTCCCCAGATTAAACAAACCCAGTTCTTTCAAACTTCTCTGATGGATCACGTTCTAGACCTTTAATCATTTTTATAGCTCTTCTTTGGACATTCTCCAGTTTGTCCATTGTGGCACCCAGAACTGGACCCAATACTCCAGCAGGGCCTAATCAGTGCAGCGTAGAGAGGAAGAATTACTTCTTGTGTCTTTCTTACAACACTATTAGTAACACATCTCAGAATGACATTGAGAATAATGAAAAAGAAACAAGACAATAGGAAGGGCAAGAAAGACAGGAATAACAGTTTATAGGGTTGTCCACTTGGTACTTGATTGATTTTCTGTTTAATTTTTGTTTGTTTTCATTAAGTGGATGTTTTTCCTGCATAATTTTATGTATTAAAACAGGGCTTGAACATGGGGGGGAGGGCTTATATAGAAACTTCTCTTTTGGATCTGCAGAAAAGGGAACATTACATTATTGCTATTAAAAGTAGCTTTAATTCCCCTGTTCACTCTGCAACTTTCTCCTCCAAAAGGGACCTCAATGTCTAAATGGCAGCACTGAAACAGCTATCCTGAAAGATTTGGTTGGCATCTGATGGAGCTTATTCAGGAAGAACTGCACTGTACTGTTGGGCTTCAGACTGGAGAACAGCTGTGTTGCATGTGGCCTCATAGCACTCAAATCCAGCTACTTGCTTTTATATAGGATTTGGACTTCAGAGAAGAAATGGGGAGGAAATGAATCCAACTCTGTTAAGCTCTCACAAGAGAGGACAATAATTATCAAAGAGGTGAAAGCAAAGGGCTGGTAACATGTTGATGAAAAATGTAACAAAATTTCCTTTTATTCATTTTCTAAGTTCAAATATACATACACATCTCTTACTATGATCAAGAGGGGCCCCAAAACAGTCCAAAAAGAATACGAACACATTTGAATATATTCTGGCTAAGAACAGTAGAAACCTCTGATCATAGCTTATATTGTCATTTTAATATGTTCCAAAATGCAATGGCTACTACACTAGGAATATATAAAATGGTATTTTAAAATTACAGTTTTAAATGTTTAGGAAGTCCATAAAGATCTATATGGCTACATATTCTCCCAGGATTCATCCTTCCTCTCCTCCCCCAAATAATACTTCAATGTTATTGACATATGACGTAAGACGTTAGTTACTCAGTGAAATGCCACATCTTAAAATCAGAAACAATTAGTTTCACAGCTATGGTAATAGGTTCAGTGTCAAATCCTGATATCCCACAGTAGGTTTGAAGCTTTTATGATGGAACCCACATGTTTCCATGTGTATCAGGTGCTTTGGTATAAGGAATATTCCAAATCCATGGGCGATCTGCAAAAAAAAAAAAAAAAAAGAAGAAAAATCAATACATACAAAAAAAAAATGCTTATGACAGACTTATATACCTTGACCACAGTGAAGTCAATGGCGAATTCCCATGGACTTTATTGTGGTTCATCCCAAATGGAAATTCAACGTAGTGATAGCATTTACTGAGCTACTACTAGCAGTGAGATACAAAGATACATTTTAAAAGGCTATTTTCCCCCACATGGGCTGTTCTTTTAAATATGGATATTATAACCTGACAATTATCCATTAACTATGATAGAAAGTACTTTTCATACAGGGTTTATAAACATTTTGCTATTGCAAAAAGTTTGCTTTAGTTCATTCAGTAGAAATCAGGTATTGCAACATAAGAAGATTATAGCATGGAAATATCAGTGTTTTTCACTGGGTCAGCTATGATTATATTTGGAAAAGAAGATACTGTTAAGTGATCTGAGAGCAGCCCTGCATAACATGAATGGCTGAGCTCATGTCTCAGCTCTGTTAACATTCAAACGTGCATGTCCATCAGTAAATCACAAAGCCCTGTGCTTCCTCTCTCCATTTCCGAAAATAGAGAAGCCAAACTTTCTAAAGCCTGCCCTTGCAGGAGGGAGGAAAGTGAATTGGACAGAAAGGATAGAGTGGGAGTGCTGGCTCTTCAATATCTTCATGTGCCAATTCTCCAAAATTCCTCAATAGGCTCTCAAAACAACAAGGGTTCCATAAAAGTTTAAGATGGAATGTGGGCACAAAAGTCAGGACATTTCCTCAATCTGTGACATACTCCCCCAGATTTTCTATCAGAACTGTGATTGGAGTTAATACTTCTTCAAGAAACACTGAATTCTCCTATAGCAATGGTCCCCAATCTTTTGGGGCTGCCAGGCCGGGCGGGGGCGCAAACGGGGAGGTACCAGAAGCAGCTATGCTGCCACTGACAAGTGTACCACAAAAAGTGGAGAAAGAAGGTCCAACAGAACAACTGTACCGAAGCAATGGACTTCCGTGGGTATTTTATGAGCAGTATATGTCTCAGGGTAAGTGCTGGCTTAAGCAGCCAAGCTTACTGAATCTATTTCTCCTAGTTCTCTTCTAATGGAATGAGGCGGAAACAATTTGAGGGTCAATTTTCTTAGTTGTGAGCGTTGCAAATAAGAAACTATTCTATAGCATAGGCTGTCTCAGTTTCCACTGTGTAAAACAGAACTTGTAATTCTTACCTATGATACAGAGGGATTAAGATGATTAATTTTTTTAATGTTCTTAAGGCACACAACGTGGAAAGTGATAACTAACTGTATGCATGTATAAATACTACATGCATCAGAGGGGAAAAGCAGTGAACAGTCACCTCATACAGATTCTGTATTATGAACTAATCACAAGAGTGGCACAGAGCAGGTAGGCAAGTCACTTTATCACTCTATGCCTCAATTTCCCCTATTTGTATGATGGGGCTAATATGCTGACTGCCTTTGTAAAGCACTTTGAGATCTGCTAATGAAAGCTGTAAAACAGCAAGGCATTTAATGTTCAGTTACCAAAATAACAAAGACACTTTTCTATGCGACTGTATCTAAAGTAGTGCAGTAATATATGACTCTGTTGGATGTGGAAAATGTAAATAGATAATAAGGTAAGAAGATTCCTTTAATAGTAATGGATTCTATTAATAGATTTTTTTTTTTTTAGTAACTACTATGTAATGTTAATTCTGTGGGATTCACCTGGGATTCTCTTAAAAACAGAATATTAACAAAATATGAGTAGGTCAACAAAAGGGGAGGTAGTTATTTTGTGTATTTTACAACAATTGAGACACTGTATTATAACAGGCCCGGGCAAAATACGGCCCACAGGCTGCATCCGGACCGCAGAAGCAGCAGCGAGCCCCAACCAGGTTCCCCTGCTTGCTCCACAGCCCCATGCAGAAATGCGGCTGCTGGGCTCCGTTTCTGTTTCAAAACTGGAGGGGAGGGGGAAGCTTCAGGAGCTGCCCTCACTCCAAGCACAATCCCATTAGCAGGTTTCTGCCTAGCAACCAGCCAATGGGAGCTGCTTGTTTGAATAACAGGCAGCCAAGAACCACCATGCTCCTTCTCCTTGGCTCAGTTATTCACTGAAGTACATGGTCAGGCAAGCTTGCAGGCAGGCTGGCTGGGAAATGTTTTAAGCTCTTCAACCCATAGCTCTTCAGGTGGGCAGGCTGGTTTGGCTGCTGGCTGGTAAGTCTCCTGGCCATAGCTTGCCTCTGGCACCCCAACCCCTCCCTGCCCCAATCCTCTGCCCCCCCCCCCCCCCCCCAAACCCAACCCCCCCCCCCCCCCCCCAAAAAAAAACCACCAGGAAAAAATTCTGTTGAAGGAAAAAAAAAGGGAGGGGAGACCAAAGTTGTTGGGCACAAAATAAAAAATTAAAATAAAACGGCATTAAAAACCATGTCCCCTTAAAAGAGTGAGTGCAGGGATAGGAACAGCAGAGGGGTTGATCCCCCTCTTACACCCTTACCCCCTCCCAGATCTGGCACATCAATCTCAGCTCGAGATCACAATCCCCTTTTTCCCTAGGTCACATCCTAAATCCCTGCACTCCAGGCCCCGCCCTAGTCACAACTGCCTCTTTCACGCAAACTCCCTCTCAGACTCCTGTCTCTCTCCTGCACCCCAATCCATTACTCCAAGCTCCCGTCTACACCCAACCTCCATCCCAGATCCCTCATCTCCCTCCATGAATACCATGGGAGAGTGCAGCACTTCACCACTTTCCAAAATCTTGTAGTGGCCCCCTCGTCAAAAATTATTGTCTACGCCTGCTGTACAGGGAGATCTTGGAGGACCAGTAAAGTGCTTGGAGCACTCCTGCTTATTGCCAAAAGCAACCAAAGAAGGAGTCTTTTCATAGGCATAAGCGGCGAGGAGTCCTGTGGCACCTTATAGACTAACTGAAGTGTAGGAGCATAAGCTTTCGTGGGCAAAGATCCACTTCATCAGATGCATGTAGTGGAAATTTCCAGAGACAGGTATAAATATGCAGGCCAGAATCAGGCTGGAGATGATGAGGTGGATCCAATCAAGGAGGATGAGGCCTACTTCTGGAAATTTCCACTACATGCATCTTGCAAACAGGGGGTAAAAAGATGTCCATGTTGTCTCAGCATTAGATCATAAGGGAGGTCTTGCAGATCCTTGACCACACCCTCAAATCTGCTGTTCTGTGGCTTGGTCACTAGAGGGGCGACCCTAGTTGGAGCGCTTTATCTGTGCCTTCTGGCTTTGTCTGGTATCTTTATAGGGTCTCTGTGGTAATCGATTATATTGCCCATATCTGTTGCAGTTATAGGGGGTGTTTTTGCCTGTAGGGTGGAGTGTACATGCCCAAAGTACAAAGCGTAGTTCTTGAATTTTTACTATCGTGCAGAACTTTGTTCGCAGCTACGACAGACTACTTCAATTTATCAAATGGTAAGTCTTCCACTTTGGACTGAAGTTCATGGGCAACACCAGAGGCCTGTAGCCAGGACGCTGCTGTAGCTGTCGCTCTAACTGCAGTATCAGCGACATCCAACACTGTAGAGCAGTGCGGGTGATTGTATGACCCTTGTGGACTATTGCTTTGAGGACAGGTCTTTTTGATTCAGCGAGGTGTTGCATGAGATCTCCCTATTTGGAATATTTATCAAAATCGTGGTTTGCCAAAAGGGCAGAGTAATTAGAAATTCTCAACTAGAGTGTGGAAGAAGAGCATATTTTTCTGCTGAAGAAATCTAACTTCTTATGATCTTTGTCTTGGTTACCAGACCTATACTGTGGCAATTGAGATCTCTGCTGGGCTGATTCTACCACCAAGGAATTTGCTTGGAGGTGGGGGGAAACAGAAATTCCATGTCTTTTGGAGGAACAAAGTATTTTCTGTCTGCCCTTTTGCTGGTAGGTTGAATAGATGCAGGTGTTTTACATACTTCATCCGACGTTTTCATAATTGCCTCATCTATAGGTAAGGAAATCGTCCCATTTAATGTAGGGTATAGATTTTTAAGTAAGCGGTGCTGTTTCTCTTGCACTTCTCGGAGGGAGAATTGTTGGCTTGCTGCCACTCTTTTAAATAACTCTTTGAATTGCTTAAAATCGTCTGTCGGGCAAGTGTCAGATGGTATGACCGCATCATGTGTTTGTGATGGAGAGTTATTTGATTGAAGCACATCGAGAGCATGAGTGTCCATGTCTGTCAGGAACTTGACCCTCCTCCTTCTCCTCTGAGTCTTCTGTAGGAGGCAGGAATCAGGGCAGGGACAAGCTTCTTTTTGCTGGTGTAGAGTGAGCTGAGGACCAGTGTCTAAATGGGTCCCCAGTGTTCCCAGTGTCTAAATAGGTACCAATGTTACTGTAGTGGATAAGGTGCGGGTGGGTAAGCCCAGTATGGTTGCCAAGGGCTTTGATGTGGGCAAGCTCCATAATGGTATGAGCATGACCTCATCAGCAATGTATGCTGTGAGGAGAATACTGTAATCTGATGATCATCATCAGGTAAAGGACCTGGTGAGACAACTGCGGAGATTTTAACATGTGAGGAGAGCCACTAGCTGAAGGCCTTGCAGGTGATAGACCTGCAGAAGGAGGGCATAAGTACTGATTCCTGCTCTGTTTTGAACATCTGAATGGAGCATTTTGGGTGCTGTCCAGCTCAGCTTCAGGTCCGTGAGCACAGTCAGCGCAAGTGTAGAATCACAGGACACTAGGACTGGACGAGACCTCGAGAGTCCTACACAAAATCCACATAGAAGGGGCTCTTGTCATCCTGATAGCTCCATCCTGGTCGCGCCACACTTGATCCCCATACCTGTACAGACTAGTGGTTCAACCTCTCTACCCATTACCATGGCGAGCAGACCTTCTCTCTCAGAACGGGAAGATGCTGCACCCACAACTACATACACTTCATCTCCAGGCATGGCTTCTCTCTGGTTCTCAGAAGTAGAAGACCGATGTTCACAGTAGGTG